TTCTCTGGTGGTCCTCCGGTGCGCTGGTCCTCAGGTGGTCTTCCTGAGGAAGGCTCCAAGTCTTCCTCGGCCACAAACTTTTGACCTCTTCTTCTGCCTGGTGCCTCACATCCAGCACCAACCAGTCCCCGTGCAGCTCTGCAACCACAGCTCCTGGCCTCCCCCTGCACTCTCCTGCACCTTGCACATCCCTGCTTTGGGACAAAACAGAAAAATTCTGAAATTCACACCCCAAACTATAGAACACAAACAACCATCCCAAACAATTCTCAAAATTATATCTCAGCCTACAAACTTCCACGTATTGCTTCCAACCCAAACCATTCTCTGATTCTGTGCCGGGGAAGCCGTGTTTGGGCATCGTGCGGCAGCTGAGGAAAAGGAGTTTAAACAGATGGTCAGGGCCACACTGTGGAAGAAGAATCACAAGATGATGTTACTTACAGCTGAAGGCTTGAACTCCACTGTGGGTGTTTCCAAGTAGCCTGTAGTGCTCTTGCCTTAATATTGGTTTGCACCTGCTGAGCTCTGAAATGGAACTGCTTATCTCAGCTGAGGTTTCATAGAGGAAGGGCAGCCACTAAGTGAGTTAGATGGATCTGCCCTTCCCGGGTGAGACTAAATGTGAGTGAACCAAGTGACTTCTCACATCCTGACTGTGCTGGAAACACATTTAAAAAGAAACTGCTGTTAAAAGTTCTTACTGTAGTTCCTGCTGGCAGCCTGGTTGCTTGGTCTTACTGTCCCAGTGTTTTTGTAGTTGGATTAGTACATAAGAGTAGTTTGATTCCAACCATAGTTCTTTTTTATGTACATCTTTGACTTGGGCCAGTTAAAAGACTCTTGTACTCTTTCTGCCAATAGCATCAGCTTTACCATATTCTGATCCTGTTTAATATTTGCCTTGTGACTGCATAGAGATAAAACAGATTATGCCATGATAGCTTATCACATGTGCCCTGTGTAGGACAGAACTGGAGCAAAAGGTTAATGCATTGTCTGAGACCAAAGAGAACATGGGATCAGTTTCCTCCTGTACCACATATAAGCTTGAGCCAAGGTCCAGCCACAACTAATGGTTTGTTGATTTGGGTCTAAATGGGTACTGTTAAATCAACAATAAAACACGCAGAAGAACTCAGATGAGTTGGTCTGAGTGAGCATGTGTTGAGTAACTTACCTACAAATAATTTATACATAATTTAATTGATTAAATCACAAATCTGACCTTGCTGCTGAGTAGTTAAAAACACATGCAAAAGTTCAAAAATTGGTGCTTAACTTGAAATGTTGGTATTAAATCATAATGTCAGTATATTCAAACTCTTCTTGATGCTTCGAATCATCTAAAGTACTTTGGTGGTGTCCTTATGTGTTCCAGGACATAGTAGAATAGCCAATTACTGAAATTAATTGTCTTCTCTTGTGGGGCTCTCAATATGAGTGACAGATGCTACATTAAGCATATTGGATTCAAGCAAAACATACTTGTGTATGTTTTTCTGGAGACTTAATCATTACTGACAGATGGCTCTTGTCAAAGAACGGCTTTGCAAAAGACAAAAAATATTGAATTCACAAAGTCATAGTAATGAGAGACAACTCCATCCTGCAAGTTAATATGTGAAAATGATAAATGAAGAAGGCATTAATATTACAGAGAGGCTATTGCATTAATAGGAGTTGTGCTCAACCCCATGGAGATAAAATATTGGCTTACAGCTGATGCTTTAAAGTTAAGTAATCAGGTAATATACTGAAGATCAGGAAAGCCACATAAAATCATTAAATGCAAACAAGAAACGTTCTGATTTGTTGGGTATAGAGGCCAGGTTGTATGTGACTCACTCAGATGAGTCCCCTGCAGCAAGTCGAAAGCTTAGATGGTTTTGGGAGGTTCTTGGTTTTTATCTTTTTTTTGTCAGGCTGTAAACTGAAAACCTATAGAGAGACTGGTGATCAAAGAGGAAGAATGTGATGAAAATGTTAAACTGTTATTATTACACAATTCTATGAAGTTAGAGAGTGCCCAAAGTAAAAGGGCTCAGGGTGTAATAATGAGTCTCCAGATGAGATGTGTCCCATTTAGAGTTAGCTTAAAGCTGGAATTGACTGATTTTTACTACCTTTCTCCACACCCCGAGCTAGAAAACATGAGGCCGATAAATGTGAAGCTGGTATGGCGAGTTTGGCATCCATAAATGAAGGGAGAAAAAAAGCCCAAACAACTACTGTTTATATGGTATCCTCACAGGGGCTTCATGGTGTTTTTTGGGTTGTTGTTTCTTTAAAAAAAAAGAATCATCTAGTGGATTAGTTATAACAGAGTTAAAATTGACGTATGATGTTAAGGTTCATCAGGGTGAGAAGAGTTGTGCTAGTAGTGGGATCTAAAACTGCATTCATAAGAGAAGACCAGAAATCTGCATATTAACATGCTTGAGCTTTTTGAGAGATTGCTTTTGGTAGAACATTATTTTTGAATGTCCTTCAGAAGACCTAATAAGGACGGTGAACCTTTTAAGTGGACAGATGAGTAGCCCAGATGTTGTCATCGTACAAATCTGTTGGTGTATCTGCTGGCTTAAATAAGATATTTATAAACCATCCCCTTAGTATTTAGAAGAGGAAGTCCTGCAGATCTGAGGAAATACCCTTTCCTGGAGTGGTAAATTTGAACCTTTGCCATCTTGAACATGAGCGTGGCAATAGCCTCACACTTCCTCTTTTATTGAAATGGTGCTGTCCAGCGAGTCAGACATTAAAAGATCTTGGCACAATAGTCCTAAATAATAATACAAATTGCTGAGAGTATTTGGGAAGTTGGAGCACAAGACTGTTTCATTTAAATTTGTCCAGGGGACTAGAAACAAAGCTCAACCTCAGCCGTCTGGCAGCAAGCACACCAGGGTGCAGCGCTTTGAGCTTGCTTCTGCAAAAAGCAGTGTAGACCTGAAAATGGCAGTTTCCTAGCTGGCAGTCATTAATAATTTCCTGTCAACTGAGCTATTAGTCTTCACATGATGTACCTCCTCTTTGGAGGTTTGCACCGCGCTGTTGCAGAATGCATAAACTGACTGCCATGCTATCCTTGCTGGCCTCTACTCATTACATGGGGCCTGCTTGCTCTCCTGTTACAAGGTGCTCTGGCTTCTCTTGTCTTCTAGGCAGAGCTAAATTGCTTTCTACAGCCACCTGAGTTTCACCTTTACTGTTTTATCTTCCGCTGTTGCAACGTATTGGCGTTGGCAACATAATATAATGCTGCACTAAGGTGGCTCTTAGCGAATCCTTTGTATTCACTGTACAGCTGGGTAACTGCACTTTGGGCCATCTATTCGCATGGCGTGTTGCCAAGTCAGTCTGGTTAGGCTTGTCAAGGATACTAATACCAAGCAGCAAGGAATTTGGGACAATGAATCCAGTCTCCGTAACACCAGATGCAATGTGTGGCCTTTATTGCGAATTTATTCTGTTTTCATTTCCTTAACCTTTATGTTGCCATTTCTGTTCATGCCAAAAACCAGTCTCCAAACATGGAAAACCTCGAAACTTCATCACTTGGAAACTGCCACTCAGATGAATTGTGATACAGTAAGCATGTCAGGAAAGAGAAGCAAAATGCTTGGATAATCAGCCTCTACTGGGAAGGTCAGATCTTTAGATGACTGAATCAGGAAATGCCAGAAAATAACCACCGCCGCATTAGCGTGTGATATTAGTTACTTTATTGGCACTTGGCCAAGCAATCTGCTCAGACTCACTAACCAAAAAGTCCCCTAAGAAACTGTGTACAACGACGGATGTTGATATTTCTTTTATCTTTCTATGCTTTTGTCTGTGTTTTTAAACCGAGTTGGTCATGCTGAAAAAGTGGCTTGATCCTCAGTTAGGAATCCAATAGAGGTGCCAAGAAGCAGGAAGGAGGCTGCAGGAAGCTGGATAAGGAGGTAGTAAGCAGACTGTTTGGTGTGCCCTCCCACAAGGACTGTGCTTTACTCTGACCTTAAATTTTACTCGCTCATCTTGTGACCAAGCTGTTGCTACAGAATGGATCAAAGGGAAGAAGTGTTTTGCGCAGACTTTGGCACAATTTAAAATTTTGGGAAATGTCCAAACACAAGTTAAAAACATTGGCTGTTCTTTTTCAAGTTAGTTCAGTTACTCCTCACCCAGTATTAGGTGACGCGCATGCAGTTATAACAGTGTTTTTGAATTGATTCATTGTTTTCAGATATGCTTAGTTTCAAGAGCTTAAGAGTTTGGATTTGAAAGGGGTTTTGATATTTCCCTGATTACTGCCAGTGTGGAGCTGCTTCAGCAAAGAGAGTGCCTCTAGGAGAGATGCCGTCCTGTGATCAGCTCTGGGCACTTGCACCTCCAGAGCAGTGTTCCTGAGCAATAGATACAACAAGCAATGCTGCTTAAGGTACCTAGATATGTTTTAAAGTCAATACAGTATCTTCCCACCCGTTCCCAATAATTAGAACTCTGCTTTAAAGAAGCTTTCCCCCCCTCCTCCTTGACCATTTGTGGTTTATTTTATGTTGAATGCAGCTGAACTAAAACTTATATAAAGGATTAGATCGTGCAGGTTCTTAAAGGTCAATAATTTCACATACTGACCATGCTGTTTAATAAACACTATTTGTTTCTTTCTGGACGTAAACCTTTTTTTACTGCACAAATCAGCAGGGCTTTCCTATAAGTACACTGACTTGCCTGTTTTTTTCGTGACTTACAAATTGACTCACATACAGCAAAATTATGCTTTGAATCTAGGCAAGGAGAAAGGAGTGTGTGTCTTCTGTAGCACATGAAGGCAAACATTAATTTCATGTAAAATGATGAAAGAGAAGTGAAAGCTCTGCTTTCCTACCAGTTTATCATGACTGTCTGAGCTAGGTTTAAAAAACAACTTACAGTCTTGCAACTGTTTTTTAATTGATTTCTCTGATGAATACAGGTTAAGCCTTCTCTCCTTCTTCTTTCATCAGAAAAATGAGTGGTGGGTTGGCACCAAGCAAAAGCACAGTGTACGTGTCTAATTTACCCTTTGCTTTGACAAACAACGATCTGTACAGGGTAAGTTTTTAAGAGCTGCACTGTTCAGACAATTGACAGCAGTTTTGAGTCTAAATACAATACTGATATATATCTTAGAAAAGTTTATCTTGATAAATTTATTAGTAATGAAATTCAATTGTTTATTACTAAATCTTTTAATTTTGTTTTATATTTCAGATATTTTCGAAGTATGGGAAAGTTGTCAAGTAAGTGACCTGATATGGCCTGCTATTTTTATAGCTTTCATTTTTAAATATTTAATGTCTTTGCTTCACTTGAAAGTCTGGTGCTTTTTATAATTGAAATATGAACATGGAACGGTATTGAGGTCCTGTTAATTTTTAATAAAATATAAATTTAATTTAACAACTGGAAATTCTTGCAGTCACAGGCATAATGTAAGAATATTTGTGTTGGAGACAGATTTTACTAACTTCTTAAGAGCAAGTGGATGTTGTTATATTGAAGTGGTCTTTTCTCTGAAGTAGTTGAAACAATATTCTTCCATAAGCGTTGTTCCCCTTCCCCTGAACATTCTGGGACCCAAATGGATAAGTGTAAAAGTGGGAGCTTCTGCTTTTGTGAACTAGATGTTCCAATTCCCACAAACAGTTCTCACCATTGCAGTGCACTATTCCTCTATTTGTCGTTCTAGAGGGACTTGTTATTGTGACTGTGTAGTATTGTATTTAAATTTAGATGTAAGGCTGCGTACTAACCACTTTTAATATGTGAGTTATTCATGAACGATACCTGTGAATACCTGCCTCTTGGTTCAAATCATAGAAATAAATGCCACAGTAAGGAACTTGCTGTTTGTTTTTCTATTTTTTTTTTAACTGGTCAGAATAATGAGACTCAAGGCTTTGCTTTTTAAACCTACACCAGCAAATATCTACTCTAACTTCTAGTAGCTGCTGTGTCTGTGAGATACAAAACTAAATTCAAAGTTTTTGAAGTCTTGGGAGTGTGTTACAGATGACAAATAGCAGGGGAAGCCAAACTATAACTTTAGAAAAATACATTTTTTAAACAGGCTGAGAGGAAAGCCCTTATGTAGGGCTCAGTGCTGAACACCTGCAGTCTCTATTGTTTCCAGAGTGAGGTGTCTGACCTGGTTTAGTTGATTGCTGAACTACCAATGTAGAAAAATCCTGAGCAAAAGTTGTAGTAATGCTGGTGTTTATCCATTGAGAAGCTCTTTCTCCATAGATTTGACACTTCCAACCTCTTTGCTGTCATCTGGTAACAACATTCGTATACTCCGTGTGTTTGCTGTAGGGATCTCCTACTGTCTTGGCTTTTGAATTTATTTGGCAGGAGGATTAGGATTGCATGAAGTATTGGCTGCATGATGCATTGTTTATTTTCAAGGTGTCATTGCAGCATTTTCTCTTTTTTAATAGTTTCTAGTGGTTAATTTGCTTGGGCTTTTTTACCGTCATGGAAAATAGAAATGGTATTTTCAGATGCCTATGCTGAAAAAATCTTGCACTGCATCTTGAGCAAAAGTAGCTAATTTAGAACTTGCAATTTTGTCTGTGCAGTAACTGTTTTCCCCTGCCTATATATTGTTTTGCAAAAAAACCCACTTACTGATTCCTAATTTTTCCTGACATTTTGTCTAGTCACTGCCAGCAGTTAAACCAAATGCAGAGTCATAGAATGCCATGTGTCAAGATTTATTTTGTTTTTTAGTATCTGGCAAAACTTGTTTTCTCTTTGCCCTTTCATGAGTTGACCTTACTATAAACAGTGCAGATACTGTGGGATTCTATGATATCTCCATTTCACTATGAAACTGATGCTAACAAGGATCACTTTTCCTATTTGTAATTAGTCAGTCATTCCCAAGAAAAATCCTTTTAATTTGATTTCTGTAGAGTCTTTGGTCAAGGACTTTAAAAACATTTTGCAGAAAGCTTTCCAGTGCCAACTAGGTTAGCTTTAACTTAATTAAATAAGCTTTAGTAGAGCGGGTTTTTTTTGAAGCGTGTCTTGCCTCAGCAAAATCAAGCAGACTTTTATCCTGTAGAGCATTTCTTGCCTCAGTATTTTCTGACTATTATGATTTGAGCCCAGTTTGTTCAGTGAGAATCCGACTTTCTAGGGCTCCAAGAAGTTGCTGTCTTTTTAAAGATTTGTCACACTTGTTTCTTTTTCTGCTTGTATTATTAACTGGTACATTTAGTATCCCAATTAGAAGCCTGACAGTCATATAGGGTTCCCTTGGAACTCTTGGAGAGTAAGTTGGCAGAAGAATTAATAGAATTTTTTAAAGTCAGTTTTATTGACATTTCAGCTCAGTGTATTCAACTGGACACAGCCTTGTCCAAAAGGTTCAGGCACAAAACTTGTTCTAAGCTCTATCTTTCTGTGCATGCATTTTGGGGAAAATTGAGCTTTCTTTACTGACCTTTTGTTTTATGTGCTTTTTACTATGTAGGTCATCTATTACTTACACCAGTTCTCTGGTTGGCATTCTGCATTGAAGTGAGGCTTGTTTGGCTTTCTATTGTGTTTCGTTTTGTTGTGTTGGTTGGTTTTTTTAAAAAAAATAAAGTGTACCGTTACTTCATACAGTTTTTGCTTGTCTGATGGCTGAACCTTGTTCTGCCTATGGTGGATGCAGGGAGTAGTTTATTCCCTAGTTTTTCACATGTACTTTTATTTTTATGGCCATGCAGACTGGCATCCTCTTTGCCCATTGTTTGTTTGGGGAATTTTAGGGCTAAATACAACAACTGATGTTAAAGATTTGAGTTTGTTTGGGTTCCTCCCGCCTCTCCCTTCACCTCTTGTCTTTCTTTTACTTTGTCTGGTTTTTTTTACTGAGACTACATCTTTCTTGAATTTCTTCATGTGCTACTGGAGCTGTTGATTCCAATGTAAGACTGAAGACTTAACTTTTTTTTTGTTATGTAAAATAACACATGCATCTATGAACTACTCAGATTCCACTTAGAGATATTTGTAGAACAATATTGCATATGCTTATTGTTTCCTATCATGAACCTGTTTAGCTCGTTAGTCCTACACGAACACAATTTCTCAGTTTTGATGCAGTGAGCTGTGTTTTTTGGCAGTGACAGCAATAGTCAAGACTACTCCTGAGTTTTAATTTTGCCTCTGATATGTGTAATTCCCTCCAGTTAGGTTGTCTGCAAATTTAAAGAGTTTGTTCTTCAAGTCATACAAGGGAATAAAGAATAATACTGGACTCAGAAAGACCCCTCATACCTTTTTTTTTTTTTTTCAAATAATTGCCACTCTGCCTGTTAGCACATGGCCAGGTTAGCTACTCCTTTGAATTTCTGTTTAATGAGTCTTTCTATTCTTAGAAAGAAATGCTTTTAGAAGTGCTTTTTTCCCCCTTTTTGATATGTAACAAAGCTAAGATCCCACTGAGATCGTTAAAGGAAAAAGTGTGTCTGAAGTAACTCTAGTATATCAACAATGTGGTTATATGTTTTCAGAGTTACTATTATGAAAGACAAAGACACCAGGAAGAGCAAAGGAGTTGCCTTTATTTTGTTTTTGGATAAAGAATCTGCACAAAACTGTTCTCGGGCACTTAATAACAAGCAGGTAAATTCTGGAACGTTGTTATGGCAGGATTGGGTTTACAGTCCCAAAATATTTACTTACTTTTTTTTCCCTTAATTTGCTGCAGTTGTTTGGAAGAGTAATAAAAGCAAGTATTGCCATTGATAATGGAAGAGCAGCAGAATTCATTCGCAGGCGTAACTACTTTGATAAGTCTAAGTGTTACGAATGTGGGGTGAGTAAAACCAAAAATGATCTAGTATATTCCATCTTTTGACTCTCTCGTGGTTTAACTCCAGCCGGTAAGTAAGCACCACACAGCTGCTTGCTCGTTCCCCCTGCAGCAGTGTGGGGGGAAGACAACTGGAAAGGTGAAAGTAAGAAAATGTGTGAGTTAAGAACAGTTTTAAAAATTGAAATATTATGATAATAGTAATAGTAATAATAATAACAACATTGTAATGAACAGGGAAATAACAAAAGAGAAATAAAACCCAAGAAAGACAAACAATGCAAATGAAAACAAGTGCTTATCAACAACCAATTGCTGCCCTGCCCGACCCCAAGCAACGGCCCCCAGCCAACCCTTTGTGTTAGTGCTGAAAGTGACTCCACATGGTCTGGGATATCCCTGTGGTCAGTTGGGGTCAGCCGTCCCAGCTGTGTTCCCTCCCAGCTTCTTGTGCAGCCCCAGCCTGCTCACTTGTGGAGTGGGAGCAGAAACGGCCTTGACTCTGTGTAAGCACTGCCCAGCAATAATGAAAACATCTGTGTGTTATCAACGCTGTTTCCAGCACAAATCCCAAACGCAGCCCCTGATAGCAGCTACTGTGAAGAAAATTCTGTTCCAGCCAAAACCAGCACAGAATGTGTTGCCTGATCTAGTTGAGAGGCGTCCCTGCCCATGACAGGGAGGTTGGATTAAATCATCTCTAAGGTGCCCTCCAGCCTAGGCCATTCTATGATTCTATGAATCTTAGCTTGTTTCTTCAGTTTGGCTATTGTTAATTCTGCCCATGCTGTTAATTTTTTTTTTCTGTTGCTACTATGAACTTGCATAACAGTTGTGCCATTTTCAAGAATGATAGTACCCCTTTTGTCTTTTTTTTAGAGGGATCTTGGGGATAGGGGAGAATATGGATGTATAATTACTGCTTAGCATGCTGAGGAGCAGCAGATCTGAGTATCAGTATGATGTTGTTTGAGAAGGAAAAGCTCCTAATCTTTGTTTCAAGATACCTGCCTTTGCTGTGTTTTTGAAAGTTCATGATACAGTTGGCAGTAAAATAAATACTGGAAATAACTGGTTTTATACAGAAGTGTGCTTTAAGTTTTTGGCAAGTTCTCAATTTTCCTGAATGCAATAACATAGGAAATTGAGATTTGAGTAATATTTAGTGTCAATACAAACTTGGTTTATATTTATAACACTTTTTAGAGCAAAAATGTTGACTTGGTCCTGTTTCTTAAATTGTTAATGCTGAGGTTTGTATCTTATCTTGAATGTAAACCGTGCTGTAGTGTGTTCAGCTATTGCAGCAGCCAAAGAAAATACTTTGCTCATAGCTTGTTCTTAATTTGCATATCACCACCAACCTCTTCGTTTCCATGGCAAGCTTATAGAGAAGAGTTTGTCTTCTGTGTGCTAATTTAGCTTTCCATTTATCTTACTAATTGCTTCCATTTTTTCCCCCTGTAAACTGTCTTACATTAACTTTCCTCATGATATGTTTTAACATAGAGTTGTTTGTAATGGTTTCTGTTAAGTGATATTTCTTCTTCTCCAAGGAAGCCGGACACTTAAGTTATGCTTGTCCTAAAAATATGTTAGGAGAGCGGGAACCACCCAAAAAAAAAGAGAAGAAGAAGAGAAAAAAAATAGTTGAGCCGGAAGAAATGTATGTATATTTACATGTTACTTCTTTTAGAAAGCTTTGTCGTCTTGAACACTTAAAATAAAGATACATATATTTTTCTTTCTCTCTGCACAATGAAGTGAGGAGGAAGAAGAAAGTGAAGAGGAAGGAGAAGACCCTGCTCTAGATAGCCTCAGCCAAGCCATAGCTTTCCAGGTACAAAATTGAAGCATTGCATATTTATTATTTATTGTTGTTTAGATGCAGTTCTGCTTCCTTTATTTACCTGTTTTTCAGAAGGTCTGAGATAAACCCATAGGTTTGTCGGCTCTGTAGCACTCGGGACGCTCTTGCCTGGCAGAAGTCAATGACTAGAGTTGGTTTCTTCATATGTTCGCTTATTTCTGGGTTTTGTGGGTTTTTTTGATTCACCATCGCTGTATCAGGAGACTGACCTGCTGGAGAGCAGTGTAGGA